GGGCGGGCCGCGGGGAGCGCGCGTCCCGGGTCCCCAGGACGCTGTCTCTTGGCCGCCGTTTCGGACGGGAGCCGGCGCAGCGACCCCGGGCGAGCCGGGCCGGCTGGGGGAAAGGGCGTGCGAAGTAGGGTCTCCCCGCGGAGGGGGTGCCCCAGGGGCCGCGCGAGGCGAGGCGGGCGGAGACGCGCAGCCCCGGCCCTTCTGCCCTGGGACACCTGCGCCAAGACCCGTCCCCCAGACCCGCACACAACTCGGGCGTGAGACGAGATGACAGGGGATGCCCGAGGGAGTGAGGAAATCAGGCGTTCTGGGCAGGATAACGCTTTTGTTCTGCTTTTATCTGGATGTCCTGTTCGCTTCACTACCTTGGGGGAAAAGTTTGCACACCTCCCAGCGCAATTTCCTTTGGGCTATTTTCCCACATGCAAACGGAATGACTGCAGCGGCATTTAACCCAAATATCAGACCGTCTCCCCCACGACAACAGATGGCCGAGTCAGCGGGGGAGCAGTTGTGAGGTCAACAGTTGACAGGCAGGCGCGGCTCCCCACCAGCACTTTCTCCGGCGGTGTGGGGTACACCCGCTCACCCCAGCGCGCTCCAAGGGCTTTGCAAGAACACGAGCCCTGGCCAGCTGTTGTTGCTGGGCGAACGCTGATTTTAAAGGAGATTATCAAGTTGGCAACATGACCACTTAATTTTTTTAAAATTATTTTATTTTATTTTTTTCCCGGTACCGGGAATCGAACTCACGACCTCATGGTTGCCAGGCAGGCACTGTGACACTGAGCTAAATCCCCAGCCCCAACATAAGCACTTTAAATAGTTGCCAGAGGTGCAAAAAAGCTCGCGACCAAGCTCTTTATTTTTTTGTCTTTTTGAAAAAAGACAGGGTCTCGCTGTGCAGCTCAGGCTGGCGTTTGAGCTCACTTTGTAGCCCAGGCTGGCCTCGAACTCGCAACGATCCTTCTGCCTCAGCCTCCCGAGTGCCGGGATTACAAGCGTGCCCCACCACGCCCGGCCTTGCGACCAAGCTCTTAATGCAAGGGAGAAATAAAAACCCTGCCCGAGCTCTTGCGCCTGCCCGGAGGGCGGCGGGCCGTGTACTCCGAGCGGTCATATTGTGTAACGGGACGTGGAAAGCTGCCCGGTTTCCAAGCTGGCTGCAGTTGGCTCCCTAACCTGCCTGCAGAGTTGGGAAAAATCATGAATGGTGCTGGAAATGTGTCTTCGCGCCTTATCATTGAGGAGTTTCTCTCCGTGCGTGCGCTTACACTCACTTACCCCGGGGCCTCCGCCTCCCGGGCAGTTAAAAACCCTTCCAAGTTGTGGTTTAGCAGTGAGTGGTGTCCAAGAAGCCAGATAAAAATCCACTCACAAATGCTCCATTCTGCAGAGACCAAGATGACAGTGTAAACACGGATGGGAAAACCAAATAGTTCCGTTGTCAGGGGCGCAGAAACAATCTGGAGAACCTGAAACCCGAGACTTTCCCTCCCCGGGGCTGCTCTCGGTGCTCTCCCAACACGCTGTGGATAGCACGAAGGCGATGTTCATATATACAGCCGTGTATGTGTTTACGCAGACCCACGTAAACATATGTGCGTTAAACCAAGGGCAAGGAGCGTGTTATTTAACCGAGGTCATCAGAAGTTCGAGCTCTGGAACACGCAGCGGGCTGCGACCGGCGAAGCTGGACGCGAGCAGGACCCCGCACGGGACGATCCTCCGCGCTCCCCCGGCCTCCG